TACATTTATGTGGTGTTCATCAACCTGCAATTCTGAGTACCATTTCAGCTCTTTTAATAATATAAAACAAATTGATATTGCATATCTAATCCAATTTTCAGGAAGGGACGTGAAGACTTTATATTAACTTTTTTTTTCCTATTTAATTTTTATATTACTTTCTGTCAGCTTGGACAATGTGTCATAGTAGAAAACGTTCAGTGCTTCCTATGCATAATATATATACAATCATCAATATCTCTATTATTTTCTTCAGATTCTACAGGTTAATATCACATAGACATAAATTAGGCAAGCCAAGCCCCAAATCGTGAAAGAATGGGCTTCATTTTAAGTACACGAGTATTCCCTTAGAAGTCCAGAGGTCTACTCTGATGCTTGGGTCACACACAACCTTTGCTGCTTTCAGCAGTCATAACCTTGGTCTGAAATAATGGGAGTATTTCCATTTATTTCAATAGACTCTAGCACAAGCCTTTAATTGCTTTGCAGTGCTCACACTCCTTCCTCCTTAAAGGGTAACTGGCATGACGGCCACTCCTGTAGTTCCAAAAACCTGTGACCTGGTAACAGGAATCCCTCACTGATGTGAAAACATATTAATTCATCTTCTTGTCCATTATTTGTTAATTTTATTGGCATGATGATTTTGCTTTTGATTGGAGGAGGTCCTGAGTACTTCCAGTCTTTTTACCTGGCACATTCACATCACCTGCATCCAAGCCTTCCCTGCACTGCTTGAATCTTCTGCTACCTTACATCTCAGTGAAATGAGAAATTCTTCCTGATCCCCCTTGTTTATAGACTACTTTACTATTTTAGCCTCTCTGTAAGACTTGGTATTGATAAAAATCCAAATGAGCATTTATCACTTATCAAAGGGTGTCTGAGTTTTATGGGGATCTGCCCTCCAACCCAAGCTCCTATCAGCAGGCTGTGCTTTGCTGCCATCACGTCACAAGAATGACTCTCTTGAGCTTCCAACACATTACAATTCTGTCCTACAAAGATGCAGAATGCAAGGCTTCCCTCTACGGTGAATTCTTAGTGAACTAAATAGAAGATGATTAATTTTCCAATGAACTTGAAACTTACATGGATTATATTTTCCACATATTTTAGAAAATAATGTTCATAATACATATTAGCCTTATTCTAATTCAGTTCTACAGGACCCCATCACACTAAGGGATTTTCATTTGTGTGTTTACCAGAGGGGGCTAGCGACACAAGTGATCTGTCCTCCATCTAGCTTAACCCATAGCATGGCAGACCTTCAGCTCCTCCTTACCTGGTAAATCATCTTCGTCTTCACTGAAAACGTTTGGATTAAAGACAGGCAGGTTAATGTAGTCCATTGAAATCTTCCGCACTTCTGGGAGATATATTGTCATCTGCCTGGGCTGAAGATGCAGCAGACTGGTTTTATATATTACTGGAGAAAGAGTATACCAAGAAATTAAAAAAAAATCTGTTACACAAAGAGCATCTAACTCTAAGAAAGAATCAATTCAAAGCAGACAGAAGGGTTATGACCACTTTTATTTAATGTATTAATGAACAAATGCATATATGGGCCATTCTTAGCCAAATCACTATGTAACACTTTGCATAAAGAGGACAAAAGAAATTGTTACTTTCAGCTATTTCTCTTTAAATAGAAGCAGCATCTCTGTAGTTAAATGATCTGTAGAAATAATGAATTCTTCATCTTGTATTCACATCTGTTTTTATGGAAGGAAAATAATTTTCCATTCCCATTTCCTCATGAGGTTCAACAAGGCCAAGTGCAGGGTCCTGCACACAGGCTGGGGCAACCCAACGGCATCAATACAGGCTGGGGGATGAAGGGATTGAGAGCAGCCCTGCAGAGAAGGACTTGGGGGTACTGGTGATTCTGCCCCTCTACTTGGCGCTGGTGAGACCCCACCTGCAGTGCTGCATCCGGCTCTGGAGCCCTCAGCACGGGAAGGACATGGACCTGTTGGAGCAGGTCCAGAGGAGGGCCACGAAAATGATCAGAGGGATGGAACACCTCTCCTGTGAGGAAAGGCTGAGAGAGCTGGGGTTGTTCAGCCTGGAGAAGAGAAGGCTCCAGGGAGACCTTATTGCAGTCTTTCAGTACTTAAAGGGGGCTTGCAAGGAAGATGGGGACAGACTTTTTAGCAGGGCCTGTTGCGATAGGACAAGGGGTAACAGTTTTCAACTAAAAGACGGTAGATTCAGACTAGATATAAAGAAGAAATTTTTTACAAGGAGGGTGGTGAAACACTGGAACAGGTTGCCCAGAGAGGTGGTAGATGCCCCATCCCTGGAAACATTCAAGGTCAGGCTGGATGGGGCTCTGAGCAACCTGATCTAGTTGAAGATGTCCCTGCTCATTGCAAGGGTCTTGGACTAGATGACCTTTAAAGGTCCCTTACACCCCAAACTATTCTATAATTCTATTCTATGATTCATTCTACTTTTGGAACTCTTCACCACAGGACGCTACTGACTTATATGAGTTTAGGGAAAAACTGGAAAGCTCTCAGGAAGGAAATCTGTTGAGGGTTACTACACACAAAGAAATCCCTCCTGGCTCAGGAAGTCCCTGGGACCCAAACCATTGGAGACTGGGAGAAGATTTGAAGGAAGTATCACCACACACTTATTCTACACTTAAAACCTTCCCTACATATCTGTCACTGGTAACGAGAGAATTAGAACAACCTCTAGTCTGAATCAGTAGGGTCATTCTTAAACTATCTTTTGACAATTATTGCCAATGTAGATGTCAGAAATTCATAAATTACTTGGAAAAAAAGTGGCTGGAACAAACCTGCGGGTTTCCATAACACTTCATTAAGTAGAAGGTGCCACTGCCCTATAGTAGTAGCACTGGTTGTCCCCAGGGTGACAACATCCTGAGAGGACAACCTTTGCCTGGAAGCTGGGCCAGAGAAGGTCCTCTCCCCAGTAGCTGGGACTCCATCTCTTGTCTGACAGTAGTCAATACAGCCACAAAAGATATCTATTTAACTAATTCTGCATCCACGGCATCATTATGTAGTCCTGACCTAACTATATAATGCAACACAGGAAAAAATAAGTTTTCCAAACAGCTCGTAAAACTCCTATACTTGCATTAATATTTCAATTCAGAGCTCAGTTCTGCTAGGTGGCACCCTGTTCTTTACTTAGCCTTCTTCCTTTCAACGGGACTATCTAGGGAGAAATGGCGTACACAGAAGAAGGTCAAGAGACTAGACAACTGCTAATTTTAATGAAGGCTACCAATTTACTTATGCTCCAGCAAGAGAATCATACCATAAGGCTATGCACTGACTTGAAGAATCTTAAGGATGATGCTGTAAGAGCTTTTTTAACATTACTTTGGTATAATTAGTAGCTAAATGACCATAAATATCCGAGTTCTAAAAATATTTATATTACGGTAACTTAAACCCTGCGATTTTTATAGTCTTCTTGCAAAAATTTTCTTTATTTGTTTGGGTTTTATTCAAATAAACTAAAAAAGGTCTGGGCTTGACTTAATTCATCTTTTTATTACAGCTGAGACTTTTAACAGTTTATTGATCATCTCGTTATTGTAGTTATAGATTTTAATCTCTTTTAGTTACAGTGAATTTTGTAAAATCTAATTCCTACTGTCCAGAGAAAATAAGTGCTTTGTTAAAGAAGCCTTTTGATCACTTAAAAAGAATCACGTGGCATAAGTTTGTTGTTTGTTAGAAAGAGTTTGACAAGCAAAAAGTCAATAGAGTTCACTTTTACCTGCACCAAGGTTAGTTGGGAGGAAAGCAGCCAAACCCACAATTTTAAATTTCGTTCCCCAGATATTAGATGTGACCTGAGCAAGGTAGTTGTGCTGCAAAGCAAAAACAAGATCATTTTCAGCTAATAAAATCTGTATCAAGCTCTAATAAAAACCTGCAGAGCAATCAAGCTATTGCAAGTGATAATACAATTTCAGCTTCTCTTGCTTTTATTTTATTGAAACAGCTTAATGTGCCTATGTAGCAACTGTTATACCCAGTCATTAAGAAGTCTCATTTTGATATGTGAACACCATCGGAAATGATGTATACAACAGCCACATAGGCTGATTAAAGCTGTTGAAGAACTGAACAACATGATGGCTGGCTGCTTAGTGAGAATAGGTCTGTTTTCAGACGCTCACTTCTCCTGCACAACAGGAGCGTGGCAATTCTGTATTTCAGAAAGTAATACACGCTGCCCTTTGGTTCTATGCTTACGAATCACTTCATAAAACAGGAGAGAAATTAATTACTCATAATGACAAACATATCCTTCCAGGAGCTTCCAAAGCAGCTTCCCAAACCATTGCTTCCATGGTGATCAAATTACGTGTCTGAAAGACCAAGAGATTTTCTCACAGGCCAAGAATTACACTGTCAATATCAGGAGCAGGATGTAAGCCTCTGGTCTCCTGCCCTATTCAAAGGACTTTTGGTCCTATCTACTGCTGCTATGTAAGTGACCTAGAATGTTTCAATATAAAGGAAAAAGTGAAAAGACAGAGTAGAAAAAAACAACTGAAATGAAACAAAACAAAATTAAAAGAACGCAGGCTGGTATTAATAAAATATATAACACAGACAGTTCTACAGCCTGCTAAGTTTCATTTACCCACAGGCCATGAACACCACAAAGAGCACAAAGTGCTAATTCCCTGCCTTCATTCCAATTAAGGCTGTTCCATGTTCTTGATCTAGTTGAAGATGTGCCTGTTCATTGCAGGGGGGCTGGACGAGATGACCTTTAAAGGTCCCTTCCAACCTCAGCTATTCTATGATTCTATGATTCTATGAATTATGAAACAGAGAACACGTGGCCCTCTGCAAGCCAGCATTTCCTTATCTCTGCAATTCATAGCAAAGCAGAGAACTATGGTGGCATTAGAACAGCTCTGAGAAACTGAATAAGAAACATTTTCACATACACTTTCAAACAGACAGCAACATCACCTGTAATAAAACCCCTCGCATGGATTCACATTGACAGAAGTTAGTGGTGTCAGGATTTATCAAACAATGCCTGATATTCCATTGACACTGTCAAACATTAACATTGAACTGGAAGATGCAATTCTCTAGTTGTTGCATCCAGTTACTGTAATTAAAAGAAAAATTTTTATTGGTGATCGTTGGATCTGTATCACAACTTGCTGCCTCTGGAAGGAGATGCATTTGGACTCAGGTCTGGTAACAATGTGCACAATACCTGAGTAATATCTTCTAAAGGAAATTCTCTTCGGGTTAGGCTTGGTGAACCAATAGAAGGTTTCCTTATTGGTAACCTTGGCGATCTTGATATCTCCTGCGCAGCTCGTGACATCTTTGGAGATTTGCGAGCTTCTATATTGATTCTGCATATAAAGCAATAATTAGAATCATCAACGGGCATACAAAAATGCACAAAATTAATGTCTTTGAATGTAAAGATGTAATGAAAACTGGTATGGTGTCCTCTAAGTGACTATGAAGACTGTAGAGTCTACAGGATGGAGAGCTATGGGTCAAATTTAAAGATATATAAGGCCTGACAGACTCGCAGTAACTCTGACTGGATGCTTTCTGATTCATTTAACAAAGCTCACAGCAGTTCTGCCAGATACAATATATCCTCCACTAATCCATACAAAGGTGTAGGGCTGAGCTCTTTCAGCTATGCAGACTTTAAGCAAAGCCTCAAGAAATGGGAACACGACACCTCAGCTGGCAGATCTCCACAGCTGTTAGTACAGCAAACCAAGGCTCCACAAACTTCGTCAATGCTCTTACTCTACGCCAAAAGTTATTCCTACCTCCACCTATAGAAAGGGGGTCACGAATAAGAGATCAAGCACCTGAAAAAGCTCACTGGTAGAAAAAAAATGAACAAAAGTTACATTTCAAAAGTACGGTCTTAGAAAACAAAGGATGCAGGATAGTTGTTTTTCCTGCGCCTTTTCAGTTTTAGGCTCAGGAACTGATGGTTCTTTTATCGAGTACTACTAAACTAAAACTTCAGTATTTCACACGTTATGTTCACATATAAAGGGATGTATTTGCTTTGCCTCATACTAGGACAAGCTATAATACAAGGTCTTTGGAAAAGTATCAGCTGCAGCTAGAAGGCATCAGGGCCTCAATCCCGTAACATGAAGCTGGCAGATAGATGTCAGTGCCTATGAGAGGCATCACAGACATCAGTGAAGCTCTGTGCAGGTGGAGGGTTTTGTCTATGTACATAATGAATATAATGAAGAGCTGGCAGAAAAGCAGCCAGATGAATAATAAGCTTATTTTGCATATTGTTACAGAAGCTCATCAACCCAGTGTTTAGGAAGATCTCTTCGTTGAGGCAACCTTGCAAGGTCACCGCAGCAGCAGTGCCACCTATGCCAGGATCTATGCCACCTATGCAAGGACTTACGAATTTGAAAATACCCCTGAGGAAATAAAGGCTTTGACTAGACCATGGACCCTAAGCACAGAGGAGGTAAAAACACAGATTGTCTGAAGGACAAAATATATCCTATGGTGGCAAGAGTTTACATGTGGCAGAGGAAGTGGTGGGAGGGTTTACAAAATCTTTCTTTGAGACTGCTTGGGGAGAAGTGGTGCCCTATTGTTTCGCATTACCTTTTGCCCCAGAACCTTCCCCAAAGTCCACCTCAACACCAGTCTCTGAGATCACCCCAGAACTGCACACTGTAGAGGACCCCACTCCTCCAGAAGGCTCCTATCTGCCCAAAGCAGTTTGCTTTTAATTTTATGAGGTGTCAAGACAGTGTTTAAAAAGAAAAGAAAAACGAAAAGAAGAAAACCTGGGGCAAAAGAAGAAATATCCAAGAAATTATTACCTGGGGAGTTTGGGTGATTTGCTAGCTCGACTGATTTTGGGAGATTTCTTTGCTGCCCAGTCATCACTCAGTTCAATATCGCTGGAGTCCGAGCAGTTGCAGCTGTCAATCACAGTGGAAATCAAGCTGTTTCCATAGATTTCATCTAGCAAGACAGGCCCCACAAAACGTCAGTGCTGCTTCAGAAAACTGATATCAATTACAACTATTAGTCATCAGAAGCATAAATCCGACCCACAGGCAGCAGCTGAGATAAAACTACACAGAGAAAATTAACCGTTCTTCACCTTGCCTAATATAAACTCCAAATTTCCAATGGTTCGAACTCAAGTGGACATGATTCAGAGGGGTAAATAGCATTCAGTCAACTTTAAAATTGACACTAAAGAATATTTTCTGCTAATTAGCAATCTATTCCCCACTATTCAAAATACAAGAAGTTCCCTTTTGTAAAACAGAAGACAGCATGGTATAATCTCAGAGGCCTGAGCCTAGGTCATGCTAAAGATTTTTGCGCATCAGAAAAAAAAATAGCAGATGCCGCCTTCCATGTTGCTTATATAGATTTTCTTTAACTCTTGAGGATTTAATATCTAAAGTATTTCTAAATCATTTTTTATACAGAGCAACAATTCAATTCTACCTGCTTTTCCATCTGTTTTAGGATCCATGATGACGAACTCTGGCCGCAACTTGCTGATACGACGTCCTTTCAGGATAGGCACCAGTCCCCCAAGGTATTCCAGGTACAGGGTATAGCATGGACCACCAACCTCTGGGTCATCTTCTGTCCGCTTCATTGTGCAGTGAAGCCGTTCATTACCAGCTGTTGGGTAGCTGACAAAATCTCTCATATTGTTTGGGTCTGGGATAGGAGGCTTAATTAAATGAAGGAAGGAAAGAGAAAGTTTCCTATAGGTTATTGTGTTTTGTTTTGTTTTGTTTTTTTAATGTGGTGATTTAATCCCAACACAACTAACCGAATTTGAACCCAACTCTAACTTGGCAGGTCAAGATTAGTACATGTTACTGCATGAGTTATGCAGGATCCACGTGCAAGACAGAGTGGCTGTGTGTTATTTAGTTAGGTCAAAAGCATCTGTACACAGAAAACTAAAACTAGTTACATCAAAAAAGGAAGGTTGGACCTGTGGTTAGAGCACTGAATTAGACAACAAACCTGTCTTCAAGTCCTGGCTCTATCACAAACTTCTCTTTTAACTTGAGTAAAGTGGTCAAGTCTAAGCCTCAGAGCATCTTGTCACTCGCTGGCCCTCCAAGTGAACTTGGGCACTCAGGTTCCCATTCCTGGTTAGCATTGGTACATGCTATGCCACTACACTACAATGCTCTCAGCTCTGGAAGAAGCTTGTACTTCTTATATCATTTCCAAGCACATGACCCATCTTTGCTGAGGGCCTATTTGCGTGCAATGTGGAGAAATACAAGCACAAAGCTCAGGGTGGGTTACTTTGCCATGCTTGCAAGCACACTGGATTAATCCATGAAAAGCTCAGTCCTAAAGCAGTTGGACTACTTTTGTCTAGGACAATATAGCCTGTATGACACAAATACTACTAATGTGTATAAGTCAACACAGTTTCTTTCAAAATGAAAGTACAAGATAAAAAAGTAGGGGAAAAAAGAAGCCTCCTTAACCTGGCGAGATGGATATGGGTTGAGGAGTGATCTATAATGTAGTCCTCAAGCTGGAGGGAGAAGAGGAATGTATGAAGGGAAGAGGGTGCCTTGCTGGGCGCTGGAGGCATGGCTGACAATGTAGTGGGAGTATGTGGCTGGGGGAGTCATAAAGCGGTGCTGAGGAGGCTCCAGAAACACCCATGAAACAGCAGGGGCACGTGGCTTCTGGGAACCCTGCTTCAGCCTCTCAGCTACGCAGCCCTGCGACCGATTTCCACCCCAGCATCCCCTCTAAGAGGTGGCAGAAGGGTTGTCAGCAATGATGTGCCCCTGTACTGCCTCTGCCCCTCTGATCCCCGTCACGGCTCCCAGCCTTGTTACAGGCAGCTGCTGCCTCCATCCCATCCCATCCCATCCCATCCCATCCCATCCCATCCCATCCCATCCCATCCCATCCCATCCCATCCCCTGCTTTCCCTAACAGCCAAGCCAAGCAAGCGTCACTGATGCTCTAGAGATCTGCAGGGGTGGCACTGGGACAACATGGAAAGCATCCTGGGCAGAAGTAGGCATGCTAGAAAGAACTGAGAACCACTGGTCTGTTAAGTGCTCTGCATCTTTGGAGATCGAGGAGTTACGGTTACAGCAAGGCATTTATTCTTCTCTGGCAAATGAAATGTTTCACAGTGGCACAAATTGCCCTGATTAGCAGTACCCAAATGGAACTATGCTGAATCATTATTTTATAAACATAATTTGCTCTCATTTAAGCTGGGCCAACTCCACTGATTTCAAATTAGTTATTCTAGCTCTGTATTGTTTAACAAGGACCTGAAACTGGCTCAAGAGAGTGCTGTAACACATACACAAAAAAATATGTAACACAAAAATAAATGTTTGAATGTAGGGCATTTACCAGCTAATGCTCTGGTTTATAGGCTGTGATAAAGAGTTGGGAAATCCTGAGATGTGACTGAGGGCAAAACCATGAAACAAAGGGGTTGAGCAGATGGCTCTGCTAGTGGTACAGGAAAAGGCATAATATCTGGTTCATTTTTCCATAGCACTGTTGGAGCAGTAAGGTTAGCAGAACTCACTGTCAGTAGAAATATTTGGGCAGTCACAGGTCTTAAGTATAACTTTCCTGGCAATATAAGGACTCATGTAACAAGTAAGGAGGCAAGAGTTTTACCACTGTGAATCTCTCCTATAACTGTGACGCAGTATTATCATCAGCGTGAGCTTCTTCAGAAGTCTTTGTGAGTCACCAGCATATTTTACCCTTATGATGTTCTTGGAAAGGCCATCCCCATGGAATAATGCAGATCAGCATGTGTGAGCCTTCTTTTAAGATTTTAATAGGCACCAAATGGATCAGTGGGCTCTTGAAGAGGACAGGAATGACCCTTAATCAAGCTTTTAAAATTATAATTATGATAATTATCATATCTTATAATTTATCCATTGTCACTTAGGAGCACCATGGGGGGGAAATCAAGCAACCTTTTCCTCCTCCTCACACACACACACGTTTCTTTCATTTTACCTTGATTGTTGGTATAAAGGCAGTGGTGAGGTACGAGCAGAGCCGAGGGGGCAGGGTCAGTTTGCTGATATCCTTGTCATCCCGCAGACAGCTTGCGATGGTCTGCTGGCACAGCAGCTGCAGACTAGAGACCCTGTGCTCGACTCTGACAACGTATAATGCAGGTCCGGAAGCCATCAGCAGGCGCGAATCCCTGTGACCCCAACAGATCGAGATGATGGGACGCTGCATGGAGAGGAAAAGGATACAACTTTAGAAGAGCCTGTACTTTTTCCAAGATAGTTGCACAGCAAGTGACTGCATGAATTCAGCACCGATCATGCTACCCTAAGTCTTCCAGAAACTTAAAAGTGCATGCTATTGCCCACAAAAAGGGGGAGGAATGTGAACATCTGAAATATCGGTAACAGCGGTTGATGTTTATACAGTGCTTTTTACTCACAAGGCTTAAAGCTCTTCACACAAGGAATTGTCTGTCAAATTCATTACCTAGACAAGGTAAGTGACTTTAAGGTCACACAGCGTTAAAAAGCAGCATCTTCTGATGCCCTATCCAGCCGTTTTTTTCAGTCATCTAATGTTACATTGGTAACAGCTCATATTTTACAACTAAAAAGTTAAAGTATATGCCCAGAGACGCTTGGTAAACTAGTGGACAAAACCCAGTCGGCTTTCTTGTCTTGCACTGAGTCTTCTGCTGCACAGTGTCTCTTTTGAACTATTCCCAGAGGAAGTGAACTGTGAAAGAGCACCAGGAACAAAACAGAGAATGACCTTTTGTCTTCTGCTTGTCTACACTCATCAATGTCTAAATTCATGACAGTAAAACCAGAAAGAGTCAGGGGTGACTGGTACTAAGTGTCAGAATGTGGAGCAGAATAACAATAAACAACTCAAATGCTGCTTTGGACATTATTCCCTGCTGCATGAACATTAAGAGTTCATGTGAGACTACTGAGTTGTGCTTGCAAGGAGCTCTCTCAACTCTCTTCCTAAACCCCATCTTTTTCATGTAAAGCATCAGCCTGCTGTGACCTCTTACAGCCCTATCACTATTACTTTTGGCCTTCATGAGTGTTCGCTGCATCCACCTGTCATCTCTGGCTTTCTGTGTCACAAGGCATCTGTATTTGCATATATACACATATTGTATGGAATTTCAATCCCATAGCTGCTATCTCTATACAAGTAAACCCCACAGCGTAAAGGAGAAACTTTCACTCCATGAAGAATACTGTGCAGCAGGTTGTAATCAGTGAACTACAAAAGGTTTACTCCTTCCTGTGAAGGGCTCCCTTCTTTTCACAATCCGTGACACTCAAAAGTTTAAGCAAACATGTTTTTCATCTAAATTATGAACTGTATTTACTGAAAGTTCAGGGTCTCTTTGGAATATCTCTGCTCTTCACAAGATGTACCAAACAAGAGTTAACTATACAGAAGATAAGGGTCAAGGCACCATCAGTAGTAACTTTTATCCACTCCTCTCTATAGTAATATGGTACTCAGATAGCTGGGTTAGATCAGTGCAGAAGTTACTAATCTAGCCTGGAGATAAAAGCTTTCCCTTCAGTTACAAATTCAAGATGCTTAAAGGTGAGAAACTGGGACAAGATGTTTTTATGTGAATGACAGAAGCAAAATGCAGCTGCACAGCACTATATCAATGTCTATCATCAAGATAAAGGGTTGGACGAAACAACTTTTTCAGAGAACAGACCTTCCCTCCTATGTCATCTTATTCTAGATTTAAATTTCAAGGAAAATATTGGTTTTAAAGCAGGAGGAATGAAGGACCTTCGTTTTCATTACAGCTAGGGAACACCACACACCCACACACTTCCACGGAGGCATAAACCTTCAGGCTGACTGATATGCAAATAGAAAGCAGCAACATGTGAACCTTGTGATTTTCACAGTAATTGCTAAAGGCATTTTGTAGTGAAGAACTTCAAAAGAATTGAGAAATCCTTTGTGCACCATCAGTAATTATTACATGGCTTCTCATAACCATAATCTGTAGGACAGAGCCTTAAATTTGATGAGAGATCACATAAAGTATCCCTTACTGATTGGTATTTTCATGATTTGAGAGTGTGGCTCAGCCCTCACATGGTCTGGCAGTAATGAGACAGTTCAAGCTACTTGCAAAATAAATGCTATTGAAAAGGCACTGACACAAGTTAGGTACCTGTCACATCTACTATACGATAGCCTGAGAAAGGCACCAGTAGCTTTCCCCAAAGGCACCACCTGCTTTCCCCAAAGGCTGAAAGCCAGCATGGGCAGAACTATCTACCTGAGTATTACCATGGGATCCAAACCACATCCTTCTGTTCACCTTGCATCAACTAAAGCTTACCCATAAATATGGTGAAGGAACAAACAAGTATGTGACTTAGCACACAAATGTTTATTTATTGGATAGAGTCTAATGCCAGAAGAGAATTCTAATATCCCAGATGTCATAATCCAATACAGCACACCCAGATAGCTCTACTATGAAGTCTAGTATTGCAGCTATCATAACCCAATATGTCATACCCAGATAGGCCTCTGTTCATCCAAATAGAGTCAAATGAAACGACTTCTCTCCTCAGGTTACCGCTGCATGCAGAGAACAGCAGAGATGCAGACAGCACCAGTGCAAGAACCTTTGCAATCTTAAACATATTGCCAAGGAACAGGTTTTTCAGAAGCTTCGAAATGCTGGGTGGGACCTCTGGCAACTCAGCACTGTGGAGCTGGGGAAGAGTAGGAAGTCAGAAGTTGAAAGACATTGCCGCACCTCATGATTTCACCACAGTTTCCCAAAAGGCAACCATAGTTCAACATCTTCTAAGCTTCTGAAGGTCTTGATTCCCTTATATTATGTTTATGTATTTTTATGTAAACAATATGTGAGTAGGTGCACGTTTAAATACACATACACACAATACCTACAAGTGGTGTACTGTTGTAAATCACATTTCTACTCCTACATTTGTACATTTAGTTTCCCCACACACCTCACATGCTTTAATCTTAATATTTTCAATTTCATCAAAGAGCGCTTGTACCATACTGGTTTGTCTTTGCTTACTGATTCAGCAGACATGCCTTGCCTTCCTTTTCTATGGAACGGTCAGACCCCCAGTACTCCTCAGTATACAGCAACAGTTCATTTATGGTGAAGGGCTAAGATTTAAGATGAGGTTCAGGGAAAATTACCCTGTCATTACAGGCTTGGAGAAATAAAAGATCACCCAAATGCCAGATATGACCTGACCTTTAAATGTACTGCTCCAAGACTATTTTTCAATAACTACGCTTTTCACTCTTT